CCCTCTCGAGTTCTCTCGAACAAAACACCTTTGCTGGCTCCTCCCACCTGGCTTTGATGCCCTTGACGAACCGGTCGACGGTTTTGGTTTGGGCTGGGAAGGGCCTGGCTCCTTCTCTCAGCCGCACCATGACATCGTTGTTGGACTGGAGGGATTCGGGGGAGGTGCTATTGGCAGCAGCAGCAGGGGGGGGGATGGTGTAGGGTGGGGCGAAGCCTGAGCCACCTTGGGCGACGTTCCAGGAAAGGGTGGAGAGAGGGAGGCCGGGGAGGGAGGGGTCGGTGAGGATGCCGGCGTCGCGCTTGAAGCGGCGGAGCCATTCGTGATTTTCGGCGCAGGTTGAGTTCCAGGGGTCGTCACTGGTGCCTGTTAGTATGGGACTGAAAAGGGGGGAGGTGGGAGGAGATAAGAAAGGTGAGGGGGGAACATACTCTTCATAAATGATCCAGCGGGCTTGGTATTGCAACTCTTCATCTGTCGGGACATGGCAGTTGGGATTGTTTGGTGACATTGCGCTTGCGACGTATTTCTTCAACTCTCTAGCGAGACGCTGGTAGCAGTTCACATCACCTAGGAGGTTGGCTCTGAATCCTGTGGCTGTAGCTGGGGAGGGGGTTGAGTTTGAGCCTGACCCCGACAGGGAACCAGACCGGGAAGAGGAAGAGTTGGAGATCGAGGGAGGGGCGGAGATGCGGGTTCGTCCAGCCGGATCAGCAACATCAAGCTGGAGTTGCATAGGATTGGGGAACATCGAATCGTGGGAGAGGTCCAAAGGTATGTGGGTGCTGTCGTCAGCACCATTTCCAAAAACATGCCTGTTCTTGAACGCGGTGAGCCACACGGCGTCGTCTGCTGCTGTTTGGTTCCATCCGTCGTCATATTCGAAAATAATCACACGGGCCCGTTTTTGCAAATCATCGTCACTTGGAACAAACGCCTCGCCGAATAATGAACGTTGTTCACAAACATATTCGGCCAGCTCGAATTCCAGTCGGGATGGGTTATGAATGCCAGAGTCGATCTTCTTGGGATCCTTGGACCGCTGGGGTACGTCTACCACGTCTTCTGATCGCGGCAGGTGAGCGCGAGCGCGGAAGCAGGTCAGCCAAGAGGTGGAAGCGTAGATTAGACGAGCAAAGAACTGGACGATATCCAGGGATGGGTCTGATGAGGACTCGTCCACTCGACGGATGATGCTCACTGCTTCAGACTGGAGTTCTCTGTCCATGGCCGTCAGACCGAGGAGGCGGCGGGCTTTGACGTAGACTTCTAACTCTAGCTCCAGGGGATCGAGTTCAAAAATGTCGCCTTTGCCGGTGATTTTGAGTTGCTGAAGAGAAGACTTGTAAGAAGGGCGGGTAGGTCGGCCAGCCGGCACTGCGAGCAACAGATCTTGAAGCCAAGACCCGGTCGAACCAACGCAAGGTCGGGAAATAGTCTTAGTCTTTTGCAGCAGTGTATGAACCACGCTTAGCAGCTCCCCATCAGAAGGGGACTCCTGACCCTGTGGTCGGTCGTCGATATAAGCCCTCAGTTCCGCCTTGATCAGCTCATACGCATTCCTAGCAGCATAAGGCGGATGGGAAGCCTCGAATGGATCCGGCGAGTTTCTCTCGTCGTGAATCAAGAACGGCGGAATGGAGTTTTCGACCATATCCAACACCTTGTCTTCGAAACCCCAATCACCCTTCCAGTCAGCCATGGATTTACCACGCTTGAAGTGCTCGGCGAGATGATCAGTACGGAAGGACCAGGTGTCCATCACGATGCCACAGAACCCACACCTCGACCTGATCTCGGGGGTCGTCACCTTCCACCCATCCATGCTCTGGCTGCGATAGGCCGCGTCATGGACAAGCTTCAGGTGCTGGCGGAGATGATCCTTCCGGTAGAATGTCCTTTCAGCCAGGGTCCTCTCTTGACAGGCAGAGTGATTGTGACTGTCAATATGGGCTTCGTCGGGGTTGGCGTGCCCACAAAAGACGCATTGCATCTGACCACTCTCGACATTGAAGGTGACGGGCCCATCAGGGGAGCAAACCCATCGCTCCAGGGACAGATGCAGAGACTTTTCGTGTCTCTGCCAGTCGTGCTTGGTTCTGAAAGTTTCTGTACAGAAAGTACACTGGAATGTTTTCAGGGGCTGTCGCAGAGGTGTGCTGTTGTTGATGTTAGCAACAGCAGGAGCACTAGCCTTTCTCCTTCTCCTCCTCCGGCCCCGGTGCATCGAAGAGCCACCCGATCCAAGCGAGCCGCGCGAGCCATAAGAATAGGCCGAAGCAAACGACCCGCTAGAGTGAGAAGTGTTGGCGCTGCTGATGGCAGAATCGCAGATGGATCTTCCTGACCCATCGTCGGTGAGATGGACGCTGCTGTAAGGGCTGCTGAGCCCTGATTGCAGAGTGGAAGATGTGCTGATAGCACGTTGAATAGCTGTAACGGAAGCCGGTTCGTTTTCCGGCGGAGAGATTTGCCAACGCTGCAGGGGGTTCATGAGCTCGAAAGACGGGGCGCCTCGTCTTCCGGCAATGTCGATAGGCTTGGACCAAGTCCGCACACCTGGTGAGGTTGATCGCTGAGCAACAGCGTTCTTGTTTCTGCGCCGAGTGTTGGCAAGCCAGTTGGTGATCTGCGTCTTGGAGAGACCTGTCTGTTTCTGCAGCATCTCTTTTTCCTCCTCGGTAGGGTAGGGATGTCTGCTGTGCGTCGAGAGCCAGTTCTTTAGAATCTTCAGTTCTTCTCTGGAGAACCGAACACCAGTCCTGGTCTTGGAAGTCGCCCGAGCAGGTTCAGACGCACTGTTGTCGGCCGTCGAGGCAGGCTGAGTTATACCCAGAGCAGCCTCAACATGAGCCTCTTCTTGAGGAATACCCATTGGATGATCACCCATTATCGGCCATGGGTTGGAGGGGAATCCCACAACATGACCAGAACCGCTGGTCTCGGCAAAGCTGCACTCTGAGCAGAGCGCGATGCAGCTGGTACAGTACCCTTTGTACTGACCCTCAGGGATTCGCTTGCACTGATAACCCCCAAGCTGACAATTGGTGCAGGGCACATCTGGGAGGTCCAGATCTTCTTCGAAAGGACCAGTCCTGTCGAGGCCCTTGAGGCCAATGCATGTGGTCGCATCGATAGCCCCATCCAGAGTAGGCGAGATGTTGTTTTCAAAGTGCTCCAATGCCCAAAAGGAGAAATCATCCCCGTCTGCATTTTCTAGAGCGAGATCGAGATCCTGGAGACGCTCGGTTGCTCCGGCTGCTCCAACAGTAGGCATGGTGGTGATGTTGGATGACGAAGAAAGAAAGTCCAAACCCTCCCCCGTCGACGGGAGGGCGGCCATATCCCAGTTGACATATTCCTCCATTTCTGGTATCACAGGCATCCGGAGAAGGACAAGGAAGGGCGCATGCGCGAGGGGGTGTACCCCTTCTCTTCGCTGGGCAAGGCAAGGGCCGGGTTAAGCCGAGCTGTAGAAAATGTCAGACTAAGGGCGTGCTTAGTGCCATTGGCACCATAGGTATAAACATGTCTCTGTCCCTTCATCATCTCTCAATAGAAAATGTATGTACTAACATGTGATGTATCGGGCGTGGAGTTCAGTCAATGTGTTAATGTCAATGGTCAGGAAGGCGTAAATGTCAATGGCATGAATAAAAGACAATAATGGTCATGTAATTCAAGAAGAAAAGTCCCCGGGCACTCTTTTTATTTAGATATCCCTCCAAGTACGAGTTCCACCAGCTTCACCTGTTTTTCTCTCCCCCAAAAGAGTCAATCTCCAAGGGTAGGTTGGAGTGAAAGCGAGGCTTGCAGTCTTGTCCCGCAGCAAGACCCCTGTAGAATGCACTGCAAAATGTGGGGCATGCACGCCTTTCGATTGACATGAACATGGGGTTTGACAGCCCCCTGTCACCGCCCGCCCGCTTCTTTCGACAACGGCTTACCCCGCCAACGACCACATCCAAGAGTCTCGTCTGATATACACACTGCCTGGAGTCGTCATGCAGATCCCAAAGTCTATCTGTTCTCTGTGCTTCTGTCTGCCGATAGCGATTCTTCTTTTCGTCCTTTGCTCCTTCCCTCAGCTTCCTTGTCCATCTTCGTGAGACGGGCTGCCTAAAAGCCTTGCAGCTCTGCATCAGGCAGTTTAACCCCGGATTTCATCTGCCTTTGAAACAAGTAGACCGGGCCGTTTACCCCCTATACTTCCCATCGGCAAGGTAGCCTGATATCGTGTGATTCTTATTCCATCATTTCAGTCTTGGTCGTGTGCCATCACGACATCCGCCAAACTAGAGCAGCAAGAAAGAAAGCCTACGTGCATTAGTCACCCACCCTCGGTATTCAGGTTTCACCGTCTGATGCTATCAATCCCCCCTCCACTCCCATTGCCTACTTTTCCCTATGTCCATTTAATCCTGCTGTACAACCCAGCCTCGTACGTACCTACTCCCTCTCCGGCCCCGGAGCCCCCAATAATTCCACTCTAGACTTCTGGAAGTTCTCGAATTCCCCCAAAGAAGACCGCCGCCGCCAGAAGCCGCTTGCGGCCGTCCCGCTCTTCCCAATTAGTTGTCCACAGCCGTGATGACGGATAAGAGATAGCTTGCTTTCCCAAACTATCGCCAGAAACAAATGCAGAAAATACCATGTCTATACCATTCCGAACACCGAGAACAAAAACCACATCCGATAACCGGCTTTCGGAGCTGTTTCCGAGCCTACCGGAAGAGTATGTTGGAAAGTGGGGTGGGTAGTCCGTCAACCGTCTGTCCGGGAATAAGAAGCGAAAGGGGAGGTGAGTTGCTAACACAAATATTCAAAGCAATGCTGATATTGAGCGCATCTCGAGATACCGAAGCTGGGGCGGACAAGAGAAGAACGCCTTCCTTACTATTTTTCAGTTTTTTCGTCTCGAAAACAGGAGGAAAAAGAGTAGGGCATATTAAATTGTGTTGTGTTGTGTTTTGAGGAGACTAAAGCTGCAAAAGGAAAGTTGCCCAATAACAGGATTGAACTGTTGACCTTCGCATTTACTTAGTACTGTTTCCAGTATTAGTACGACGCTCTAACCAGCTGAGCTAATCGGGCTTCGGAACTGTTGAACATTGAGTTGGGTTTGGAATACAGGTAGGCTTCCGAACTTCACTCCAGCGAGGCAAGAAACTTCACTCCGTCTGGTTCAGAACCTCTGTATAGGATGCTTCATGGATAGCAACATCATTGGCCACATACCTTGTTTTTTTTTCTAGAAAGAAGAACGTAACAGCTTTGCTCAAGTACTTTAGCTAGTTATTTAAGCCAAGTCCCAGGATTGTCCCCAGCGGCCATCCATCCCTTCACTTCCAAATTCCCTACAGAAAAAACCGGGTATCAAATAACACAAATTACTCCCGTGGCAATCGATTCCAGACCAAAACCGTTTCCGATCTTTTTTATTTTCACCCTCCGTCATCTTTCAGGTCCATCAAAATCGCTGCTCCTTCCTCAACCTCTTCCTCCTCATCAAGCTCTTGCCCATCCTCAACCTCCCCTCCATCCTCAACCTCTTTTCCATCCTCAACCAGTTTTGCCTTCTCCATTTCCTCCTCATCTTGATCAACTCCCCCCCCTTTCCTCCAGCCCACTTTCGTCAATTTTCTAGACTTCTTCCACCTCTTCCATAGGTTCACCACCCTGATCCAACCCCCCACCAGCAGCACCCACCATCACCACACCCCCCGCCCCATCCATCCCCAGTTGCCCACTCGCAATAGCCGTCAGCCTCGCCACCTCCGCCGACAGCTTTTTATTCTCCGCCGAAAGCGCATTGATCCTTTCCTCCCGACTCCGAATCTGGATATCCCGATTGGAAATATGCTGATCCCTCGACCTCATCTCCTGCAAGAGCTGCGAGTTCGTAGCCGTCAGATCCCCGATAATCCCCGACAGCCGCTCGATACTCCTAGCCATAGCCTCCGCCGTCGCCGCCGGAACCACATAATCAGGCGCCGCCCCAGGCGAGACCCCGGCCGCCGTCGCCTGCTGCGCGAGGTTAGGAAGCCCATCAATCCCCCCAGCCGAAATGGAAAACTGTTGCCCCATCGGACTACCATGAAACCCCGGGTGTTGCTGCTGCTGCACCACCTGCCCCTGCGCAGTAGCAGTAACCCCATTCTGCCCCCCGGCATTCCTCCTCCTCCCACTCCCCCCCACAACTACCGGTTGCACCTGCGCAGCCGGCAACATAGGCGGCGATTCGGGCCTCTGCTGCCTCTGCCTCCGATGCGCCTGCTGTTGGTTCCTCCACTCCTGCTCCGCCAACTGCTCAGCAGCGTACTTCTCCGCCCTCGCCGCCCTCTCCGCCTCGGCATGCGCCCTCCTCTGCCCCTCACTCTGCTTCGCCAGCTCGGGCCCCTCCGGTATCCTCAACGCCGTCGCAAACATGTGCCTAATCAACGTCAACTTCCTGCTGAACCCCTCATTGCTCCTGCAAGGCCCCTGGTTAATATGCGCCGCCAGCCCTGCTCGGTCCCCAAAGTACGTCCAGCAAAACGAGCAAATCGCCGGGCTCTCGTGGTTATGCTCGCCCACCATATTCAGCAACGTCGTGATGTCAGAACACACCCCGCAAGAGGAACTCGTCCCGTAGTTAAACGGCCAATTGGTCGGGCACACGGCCAGGTATTTGGGAGCCTTCCTCCGGCCCCCTTCTTGCCTCCCTTGGTCACCACGAATCAACCCGTGTTTATCCATCAAATGTTTACTATGCACCATTAGCCCTCAACCTTTTATATCCCCACCCTGGTGGTTTAAAACTCACATGAAATACTGATTTCCCCCCGCCCTCGTCTGACAGTCCTCAAAAAAGCAATCATTCTCCCCTTTATCATCCGGGTCCGGCAAACCCGGCTTGAAATGCGGGACCCTTGGATCGTTTTGGTTGTTGCTGTTGTTGTTGTTGTTGTTGTTGTTGTTGTTGCTGTTGTTCAAGTTGAGATCAACAACCCCACCGCCGACGCCCATGCCAGCGACAGGAGCTACATTCCCATTCCCGCTGCTCTCCATATTATCTTCTGTTCTTCTCCTCTTGGAAGCATGAGTTTCGTTTAAATCATTACCGTTGTCATCCGAGTGACCATTCACATCCATGCCCTCCTCATTCGAGGACACAGACACAACCGACTCAGACGCGTCGTCGTGGTCGCGGGATTCTTCTCGGTCGCCTTGTTCAGGCTCGACGCCCCAGGGCATCTCTCTAATTGGAATGTGAGAGGGCCTGATAGCATAGACAAGGATTGGTAGACTGGAAATGTACTACTAGAATGCCGAATTGAACCACCCGGCATCAAAAGTGTAAGTGGATGTGTTGGAGTTGGGAAAGTGGTGAGAAACAGCAGGTCGGGGTTGCAAAAACAGAGCGGGACTGGTTCAATGCGACTTTTGGCATAGATGATTTTGTGGGCCATCGGCTTTGTGCTTCATGTCGTTGACATGATTGGACCGTTTCTTACCACTTAAGTGGGGGGCTTGCAAATTTCGGGCCCGAACTTTGGTTGTGGCTTTGGAGAGTCCGTAGCAAAATTGGCGACGAATCACTTACACACGGAATCACCTACACACGGCCGGCAGCTACACGAGAGAGCTACACGGAACCCGGAATCCCGTCATTGATCGATGGTAAATTTAATTCCAGTACATCAAAGTACTCTAGCTAAAGTCGTCATAACACTATCTGGCAGAAAACCACCACGGCAAGCAAGTACTGCTACCAAGCTTGCAAAGCCTGCAGATAAAGAAGCAAGCACATAGCGTGCAGCACTAGAGCACAAACATCTACTTGTACAAAGTAGCAGACGTTTTAAGGATACATGTACCGGGGAGTTCTCTTGCCCTTTACCCATCAACCTTGCGGAAGCAACTCTACGGATAGAGTCGGATAAAGGGCCTTCTGTCCCGCTGATTTGATCTTCCAACGCTCCGTTAAGAACAAGCTCTGGGTTGAGCTTTGCTCCTGCCATCTCGAGTGACAGCATCGCTGGGTGTGTAGTGCAGTGTAGGGGTATGATGATATGAGTGATCTCTGGAGCCTGTCTTGTCGGCAAGACAAGACAAGGAGGACAAGGAAGAGGAGGGAAGAGCGGCCCGGTCACTGCTGCCCACCATGCTGACTGTAACTGTCAATTCGGTATCTGACTGCTCATGAACGTCTATCGCCGCCAATCCTGCTTCCAGTTAAAAATGAACGCAACGCTGCCATATCACCAAACGCCGACGCTTGTAGCCTGAGCCGGCCCAATTCTCTGATCAAAAGAGAAAAGTCATCTTGTGACCCGGCGGTGAGACGGAAAAACGAATAAAGAAGATAGATACCTGCGAGGGGAGGGGGTTATGAGTCCAAGACATGCTGGAACAAGGGCGACATCGATTCGCCGTAGTGGTTTCTCCGAATCGCCTCAGCCAAGAGGAACGACAGATCGAGAACCACCAGCTTGCTGGCTCTCCGGGCCTTCTCTTCGGGTATCGGATAGCTGTTGGTCACCACGATGGTGTCGATGCAATCACAGGCCTGCATCTGCTCAAGACAATCGCCTCCAAACACACCGTGTGTTGCAATGCAGTACACCTTCTTGGCGCGCCCACGCTTCATTACCGTCTCGGCCGCAGCAATCCAGGAGCCGGGCTTGTCAATCATGTCGTCGACGATGAAGACCGAACGGCCCTTCACATCGCCCACCAACGTGATCATGTGCTCAACCTTTGGTTTGAGAATCTCCTCCTCCTCATCAGAGCTTGCTGCCGCATCCCCAGAGCCACCCAGGGCATGGGACTGGGGCGCAAAGAATGAAGAAGCATGTGACATGACCATGGGATCTTCGTCTGGGATCTCGGTACCTGCCACACTTTCGGCCGGTGAGACAAAGTCGTCCGGCACGATATGGCCTTCAACCAAGCGACCATGAATGACCTCGTGCGCTCTTTGGTCGTTGAACTCGAGCTCGTCACCTTCCGCCTCCTCGTCCAGCTCATCAATGACCGACGACTGTGATAGTGTGGTTTGAGATCTCGCGTGGAGGGGCTTGGGGTTGCTCGCAGAGCGGGAACGTGTGCCGTTAGCAACAGGGCGAGGCGAACCCTGGTCGTCTGCCACAACGCGCGAGTCTTGCGGTGGTGTGCTTGTTGCTTCGGGGGTGCCATTTTCAGGCTCCGTCGAGGTGGTACGCACCTGGTTACTGATGGGGTCCAGCACTGGCTGTCGCTCAATCCCGTCGAGATGGTTCATGATCATGCTTGCAGTCATGTTGGGGCCTCGTCTTTTATCTGTGGTGACCATGCCGAAGTTCAGTTTGAGGGCGTCGGCAAGAGACGTGACACGCTTCGTGCCACCAGCGTTCTTGGACACCACCACTGCCTCTTTCCAGTCTGGCACATTGTGTCTGATCCAGCGAGCAATCAGCGGTTCGGCGTGGAGATTGTCAACAGGGCACTTGAAGAAACCCTGCATCTGCGACGCGTGGAGATCAACCGTGACAATGTGCTTGACACCCGCAACCCCGAGGAGGTTGGCCAGCATCCGTGCAGTAATCGCTCCTCTATGCGACTTCTTCTTGGACTGGCGACTGTACGGGAAGTACGGCAGGACAGCTGGGCGACCCGGTCAATTGGGTCCAATTCAACGGGACAAGTCCAAGAGCGGCACTTACCAGTGACTTTGCTTGCCGAGCCTCCTTTGCAGGCCGAGATCATGATGAGCAACTCCATGATGGTGTCGTTGATCTTGGGGCTGCCAGACTGGACGACAAAGACGTCCTTCTCACGCACGCTGGTGAGGATGCGGACGCTTGTCTCGCCGTTGGAGAACTGGGTGAGCTCGGCCTCGGCCGGAGCCATGCCGAGATTCTCACATATTTGTTTCGTGAGGGATGGGCAGCTGGTGCCTGAGAAAATGAGGGTGCCTCGCATCTTGAGAGGGGATTGATTGAGGTTGCGGGAGGAAGCTGCAATTTTTTTCGACCTCGTCTAAAAAGCGTTGACAAGAGTGGGGCCTGCTCGTTCCAGGTCTGACCCCACCTGCACGGTTGGCCGTCACACATCGAGTCAGCTCGCCCGCC